AATCCCAATTCAGATCAAATTCATTCGTTTTTCTCTGATATCGACCCAATACAGATCCTGGGTATTAGACCTGCGCCATCTCTAGTTCACATACAGTAAAAATACTTTTCTGTGCAGAAATAAGTCCAAAAAATGACAGATTTTGGCATGAGGTTGAAAAACTGGTTATCCACTGCCACTTAAAATATCATGTATCTTACTGTAAGACACTCTAGTGGGCAAGTCAGATGTGCAATTTGATCATTAAGACTGTATTTGCCTGCAGTTTTAACCTTTAACGGGAGCGAACAAGGTGACTAGTGGCAGGACATTACAGTCAAGAATAAGAGTTTTTTTGATGATCCATTCTACATGTCATACTCTACATCTTCATACTGCACACACAGTGAAATACGCATATACTGTAATCACAGCACCTTCTGTACTGTACAGCGTGTACGTTCTGTAGTCACATACTGCAAAAATCATTGCATAGCCTAACATTTAATACTTTCATTCATTTCATAAGTAAATGTCAATTGGACAATAAAACTGATTCTGGTTCTTCCCATGATCCATTAACATGATCCATTAATATTCTCACTTACAGTAATTTGATGCTGATGAAATGACCACAAGCTGAGTTTTTTTTAGAACTTACAATTAAAGAGGATAGATAGGCACTCTGGTTGTAAATATAGTCAGAAAAGTCCATTGGAAAACTGAGCACCCTGGACACTGAGTGGTCCGATGGCAAAAGCAGTCCAACTTTTTGACATTTGGCCTGGATGTAAGTGAAAGCATTACCATTTGTGCTGTTAATGTTGCCTCAGTCCGATGTTTAAGTCATCGGTTTTAATTCTAAAGCAGTAGGCCTGATATATATAATTTATGGCTGGCAACTTATGTAAATAATAAGGTCCCTGAAGGACTAGTGGTTAGGCCACAGTGCGCTCACCGCTGAGGCCTGGGTTCGGTTCCCGGCCAGGGCTCTCAGTGCGCTCTCAGTGCAGGTCCCAAGCCCGGATAAAACTGGGGAGGGTTGCTTCAGGAACAGCATCCAGCATAAAAACTGCCCCTGATCAAATACGCGGATTAATGAGCCGCCGTGGCGACCCCTAACCGGAGCAGCCGAAAGATGAACAACAACAAGTTACTCAAATAATAAAAGGGTAAATTTGTTAGTACTGTTTTTGTAACTATCCATTGACTCCACTGGTTATTTTTGTACAGCACAGTCATAGACGAGACACAGAGATTAGAAAGCGGGCCCAAGGGGTTGCACCAGGAATGAAAACCGTCTGAGGTAGGACGGTGTGTGGATTAATGCACGCTCTGTCAGAGCTTCTAAAACTCAGTTTGGTCTTAATAAACATTTTAACCTCGGCACAGATACAGTTCTTCAAATTTCCTGGAAATAATTGAATAAATAATGACGTGTAGTGAACAGTAGTAGTAGCTCTGTAGAGAGCCACAGTTAGCTGTGAAGCAACGTACTCAAACTTATACCCTAAGTCTGAATATAGGTTTGTGTCTGCTTTATTCAGACATACCCCATATTCAGTGTTAGGTGTTTTTGATACATTAGATCTTTAAATGCATTCGAAACTTCAGAAACTGAATGTGAATTACATTAACCTACGAAATTTGGAATATTTTTAGCTGCCAAGTGAAAGTTTTCAGAACAAATTTATTAGCCCACCCACAGTGAAGTTAGGAGTTTTAACACACATCCATGAACAATAAATCCTGGACAGTTGCCATACCAAATTCTACGCTGCAGCCCCAGACTGACTTTGCGAGCCTGAGACTTTCTTCTGTGCCCTGTACAACTTAATGTGTAGGCTGGGCAAGTCATAAAGCTCTTCCAGATGAAAGTGGGCTCTAAATCGTTCCACAAAGCTATTCTCAGGGTCTAAGCGGAACCTCATTGCCCAAAGTATAACAGTGTCCTCTGAGCACAGGTGCTCAAATGTCTCCATCAGTTCGTCGAGGTATGGGTGGGAGTAAACAACATCTGCTGCCATGAGGTAGTCATAGCGACATGAAGCGCGTGGGAAACGCTCTTCTAGCTGCTGGCCCCAGGTGAGCTCTGTCACATGGGGCTCGTAGCGACAGCGCCCCCTGGTGTTGCGGCTCACGTTGTAGCGCAGGTTACCAAGAACATCTGGGAGGTCGGTGGACGTCACTTTTGCGCCTGTAAGTAAGGAAGATTACTTCAAAATATGAAGACGCTGTCACTGTATGACGAAGATGCTAAAATGAAATATGAGACTATTGCATAGTATCATTCGTACCTAGAAGGCTGCACACTATAGTAACCAATCCTGTTCCAGCACCAATCTCAATGATGTTCTTATCTACAAGGTTGTATTTTTCCTGATGGGTGTCAAGAAAATGACACAACACCATGGCCTGGTTAAAAAAAAAACAAAAAAAAAAAAAACGGTAAATACGGGAATTACAAAACAATGGTTTGAATACTTGAGTAGTCTGGTCAGCAAAAGGAAACTTACTGAGGGCCATAGCACAGCACCGTAACAATCAGTCGACTCTTTGATTTTAATCTCCAGATTGGCAAATGTATATCCCTCCCACGCTTCAGATTTGATCAGAGACGGTCGGAAATGTCTCTTCATGATAGCTGCTGCCAGCTCAGCATCTGGAGTAACTTCTGTGGCATGAAACACAAGCAACAATGGAAAAGGAAATTATTTGGAAAAAAAGGGGTCGAAGTACACAAATTCTTTACTCAAGTAAATGTTCAAATACTCATCTAGAACAGAACTATCTTAAAAGTTGAAATATACAGTAGCTTCAAATTATTTACTTAAATTAAAGTACAGAAGTACAAACTCTTAAATCGTTCAGTGATTTTGGTTGATAAAATTAGAGCTTGCTCACGGAAAGTGGGTGAAGATGAACTAAAAGCCAGTTAATGGCAAACATTCTATGATCTTATTCCCTCATACATCAGCTAGCATAAATCTAACGATACAGACTAGCTTGCATGCTAATATCCAGCTAATAACAAGTACAGACGGGTGACAAATTAATGCAAAAAACTGGTGGCTTTATTATGCTGTGTCTATTTTGCTGGCTTAATTGTGTCCAATGCAAATCAGTACAAAGTTCTGTTTGTTTCACCTTTATCCTGTGATGAAACATCTCTATCCTGATGGGAGTGGCCTCTCCCAGGATAACCACGCCTCCATCCACAGGGCACGAGAGCTCACTGAATGGTTTGTCGAGTATGAAAATGATGTAAATCATAGGCTATGGCTTTCATAGTCGATAGATCTCACCAGTGGGAGGTTTTGGACGTGTTACACAACGCTGTCCACCACCGTCATCAAAACACCAATTATGTGACTATCTTTTGGAAGTATTGCATTCATCCTTCCATTGCAGTTCCAGTGATGTGTAGAATCCATGTCAAGGCACATGATCCTGTGTTCTTGCCAGCTCATGGCCTAACACCTTTCTAAGACATGTTGCGTTATAGTTTTTCCATTCATTTCTCACCCATCTGTATACATTTTAGTGATCGATATTATGACACATCAGATTTAGATTCGAATGAGATTTTATTTTTTACTTCTTCTTGGAATTCTCAACTCATTTTTCAGATGTTTTACCTCAGATGTTTTTGGGTGTAGGAAGCCGCACTTGCCTGCACATATACTTAGAGCCAGAGATTTAAAATAGACATTTAAAAATAAATACATAGAGGGATCATACATCACCCTGTTAAGTTTAGATTAGTTAGGAATTTCAACATTTATTGAAGATTGTCGAGGCAAAAAAGTAACCTATGACTCCCAAAAAACATATAGCTTATAGAACACCAAGAAAAACTCAAGTAAAGACACTTGAGAAGTACTGGACTAGGAAAGAAAAGCTTCTATAGAAAACTATGTGGTGGATGACAATTCTTCATCATTAACAAGTGAATGAATCTGTATGAGGGGAAAATCAGCAGGTATTCAGATAACTTAGAATTGATTCAAGCCTTATCATAAGCAATGTAGACTTCAAATACTTTATACACGGTTTAATCAGTTACCATACACCCTTTTTTTAAACTATTCAAATAATGGCTATTTTACTACATAGGAAAAAGTATGGAAAATTGATACTGGGGCATTGGGTCAAAATGTTACTTAACAATACAAGTTAGCTAGTTAGAATTATAGTTCATTGAAAGTTCACTGAGTTTTTCCTCATTTGTTTGTAACTGAAACGATTCCGACCAAATTACCATTACACATTTGAAATTTATGAGCTTTTTTTTTTTTTATATATATAGAGACTTTAATTTATGGAGAGCTTCTGAGATTAATAGTCAGTCATGGTACAAAATTGATTGATCATGGTATGCATGTAAAGTTTAAAAGTTTAAACAGAGTAATGCACCCCCCAACATTTAGCTAAACAACCCCCACCCCCAACGCTATTATCCTCTATTTTTAGACTGAGCTTCTTTAAGGCCATAAACAGCTGCAGCACTTTGTAACCTGTGGAAATGTGTCTAACATGACGGTTATTGTTCTGGAGTTCAAACAGGTGTTCTTATCCCATGCAGATCATAGGCTTTACCATTAATCCACAGTTATATAACTGAAATACTCTTTGTTTAAAATCTTGTTATCGTCACCTTACATTTTGAGAAAGAGGTTTCTCATTGGTGATATTTCTATGCAATAAATTAACGCATTCCGAATTTTATTTGCTTTGGTTTACAGGTAATATGCGTCAGGAAAAGAAACCTCTACGGAGACTAAGTTAATCCGTCTCTGTTTACAGAAATGTGTATGTACATCAAATGCTATGCAGTTTGAATTGTGAGTTTCCACAGTATGAGCATAAAGAAACAATCGATCCATGATCAACCCACCCTGTGTCTCAGTCTCCTCTGCGGGCTCCTGCTCCATGGTTGTGTGTAGGTTCTGGGTGTGTTGAGTAAACCGAGGTAAGCCAGGTTCAAAATGTGTGTCCACTCTCTGTCCAGACATGAGTGTCAAACTCTAACTAGCAGGGCAGGGTTTCAGAGAAGTAGGTCAGCCAGTGGAAGGAGACCCACCAGATCCCGACAGGACAGAAATATAACCAGAGGACTGAGGATACCGCTATGCACAGCATGCCTTTCACTCACACACACACACACACACACACACACACACACACACACACACACACACACACACCTGCCACATGAAACTAAGTATTAAGACAAGATCTTGAGTGATTTCCATAGATAGAAAGTGAGAAAGCAGATCCAAAATGGGGTGAAGAAAACAATAGCTCTCTTGATGACATACAGGAAATGAGAGTGGGTGGGATTTTATGGCCAAATATGGTTTTGCCTTCTGCCGGTTTTTAATAGACCTTTGAATGCACAGTGACAAAGAAGGGTGGGCTGTTTTTACTAACTTGGCTTCACCTAGTCATGAAGATGATGGAATGATATCCGTCCTAGTGCTAGAAAGTCCTGCACTTGATATTATTTACATTTAGTCAGTTGGCATGTGCATGTATATACAGTGACTTATCAATTCTTGAAGACTCTCTAATGGTTCATATCCTGAAAGGCTAATGCCGGTTTGTACAAGTACGTTATAGCTGCTTACAAAGAAAGGCAAAATCAAAGCCTATGTTTTTTGGGGTCATTGGGACTCAAACTCAGGCTATCACTGATGAGTCAGGAGTCTCAAACACTGAGGATGAAATTCCAAGTGCCCCAAAATTGTCAATTTACTGACAATCTTATATTTCTAAATTTTGGACTATAGACTTCAGTGTAGGCTCCCAGCCCTGGTCCTGGAGTACTCTGTCACATTTTAGTGTGTTTCTTGTTCTAACACACGACTTCAACTAATCAATTAGTTGAATCAGGCATGTGAAAGCAGAGAAGACACTAAAATGTGCAGGACGACAGGTACTTCAGGACCAGGGTTAGGACCCTGTGGACTACATAATTATAAATACATTT